GTACTACTAAAAAAACAAAAAAAAAAATCTTAATTTAACCCTTTAACTGTGGGAAGAATTAAAAAAAAAAAAAAAAACTTAGATAAGAGTTTGTCTTTCTGAATCAAATAGACCAACATGAGCAAAATATGATAAAAACTTTTGATTTATGGCATGTTGAATTTGGTGAAAAAATTATCACTAACTGGCAACAGCAGTGCATACTAGTACATCAGATACAGAGGGTTAAATGTAACTATTCTGGCAAAGAACCCAGAGCTCCAGGAAGCTCTAATAACTACTTCCAGACTACGTAACTTATCACTTACTCCTCGGCTGAGGGTCTGATTACCTTGTCTTCCACTGTCTGTCGTATTTATTTTTAGAATTTTCATCTGCCCGTGCATCTAAGCAAATACAATACTGCGAGCCGCCGAGAATTGAACCCGGGACAATTATCCCGGCTCCTAGTAACCGAGCAAACCCCGGTGTTTGTAGCATGGTGGTCAGTGTCCTGTAGCTTGGTGGCTAAAGCCCTCACTTCACATGACGAGGGTCTGCGTTCGATTCCCGGTGAGGGTAGAAACATTGGGCATGCTTCTTTACACCAGTTATCTATGTTCACCCATCAGCAAAATGGGTACCTGGGAGTTAGTGGACTGGTGTGGGTCGCATCCTGGGACAAAACTGACCTAATTTGCCTGAAACGCTCAGCATAACAAATGGACTTTCTACATAGAAGTATGTCATTCATGTCAGCTAGGCCTGTATACCTTGTACATGTCTTCTTCAACACACCGGCTGTATCCCACCGAGGCGGGGGTGGCCCAAAAGGAAAAACGAAAGTTTCTCCTTTTGCATTTAGTAATATATACAGGAGAAGAGGTTACTAGCCCCTTGCTCCCGGCATTTTAGTCGCCTCTTACAACACGCATGGCTTACGGAGGAAGAATTCTGTTCCACTTCCCCATGGAGGACCTTGTACATGTACTTGTAGTAAATGTATATTATTATTATAAATGGGTTAAGGCATCAGGTAGTTAGCCTGGTTCCCAGGAGCTGGGCTAACTGAACCCAGGTTCGATTCCCAGCTGGTTGCAGCATTGTGCTTGCTTAAAAACCACTGGATGGTGAAACATCTTCAAGTAAAGCAACCCAGGTATTGCACAAGTGTTTTCATCAGAACTTGTAACTTCAGTGACTGCAGCATCAGCAGCAGATCTCACTCTGGATCTCTGGTATACTTAGAGGAAGCTGGAGAAACACTGACTAGAATGTGGCCACAATGAATTAAGTGTTCTCTCTCACTCCCTTCTTTGCACCACTTACAAACAACTTTCACAAAGCAAGGTGCAAGTTGGGAGAAAAAATAATGCTCTCCTTTCTTATAGCCATAACTCTAATGAAGACACTCTTGAAACTTACCCCCTACCTTACGTCAGTTTGATTCAACTGTAACCAACGTGCTTTCAATGTTTATCCCTTGACAACACCACCTCTCTTCTCCTCCTCCACCTCTTTTCCCTCCTCCACCTCTCTTCTCCTCCTCCACCTCCTCCTCTTCCATGAGTATAATAATCCACACCAAAGAGCCTAAAAGAGGAACAATACACAAATAACCAGCACATAGGAGAAAAACTTAACATGACATTTTGGTCCGACTTGGACTACCAACTAGTCGCAAAGAAATGGTCCAAGTCGGACCAAAGCGTGGTCATAAGTTTCTTTCTCCTACGTGCAGGTTGTGTGTGTATTGTTGCAGCACGGCATTGTGTCTTTTCGTTCCTCTACATTTTCCTCTCGAAACTGAGTTTTTTTGTCAACTGTTCCAGCCTCAGTACTGAGACTCGTTACTGTATAAAAACTTCCACAAGAATTCAAGCCAAGTGATGCCCACATTCACACCTTCGATAACAACCACACACAAACCACCAAGAAAGGGGCGACTTCACAAACTGGTTTTGCAATCTAACACACAAAATAGATAAGGGATATGTCAAGCATTCTACATTTAAACAACCATGTCATAGAATACAGGGGTTCTTAACCTTTTTATTTTTACAATTACAGACCCCCAATGAATATAACATGCCCTACCCCCTTCGCCAAACTGTCGAAATCCACGTCATCACCAGTCCTATTAGGTACCAGTATGACTATTAGGTACCAGTATGACTTCTCTTAGGTACCAGTATGACTATTAGGTACCAGTATGACTTCTCTTAGGTACCAGTACAGTGGACCCCCAGTATTCGATGGCATCGGTATTCGATAAATCCTGTATTCGATGCATTATATCGCAAAAAATTTTCCTCGGTATTAGATTGAAAACCCAGTATTTGATGCGATTCGTATGAGACCTGTCCATGTGTGGCCAGAACTGCACCGTGTGCCAGTGTTTACAAGCCAGCCAGTGTGCGCGCATCTAAAGATACATTCCATATTATCCATATTATCACTGTGTTTGGTGCTTGTTTCTGCAAAATAAGTCACCATGGGCCCCAAGAAAGCTTCTAGTGCCAACCCTATGGTAAAAAGGGTGAGAATTAGTATGGAAATTAAGAAAGATTTTGAAGGGTTTGGGGCTAACCCTGAGAAGCCTATGCCAGTTGTGGAATCCATTGTGTCTACTTCAAAAATTAAGGAAATGTGTGCAAAGTGGGTTGAACTGCAAACCTTTATGGATGAAAATCACCCTAACACAGCTATTGCAAGCCGTGCTGGTGACTATTACAATGACAATGTTGTGGCCCATTTTAGACAAATCGTAAAGGAACGGGAGGTACACAGCTCTATGGACAGATTTGTTGTGCGACAGAGGTCCAGTGACTCTCAAGCTGGTCCTAGTGGCATTAAAAGAACATAAGAACATAAGAAAGGAGGAACACTGCAGGAGGCCTGCTGGCCCATACTAGGCAGGTCCTTTACAATTCATCCCACTAACAAAACATTTGCCCGACCCAATTTTCAATGCCACCCAAGAAATAAGCTCTGATGTGAAAGTCCCACTCAAATCCAACCCATCCCACTCATGTACTTATCCAACCTAGATTTGAAACTACCCAAAGTCCCAGCCTCAATAACCAAACTAGGTAGACTGTTCCACTCATCAACTACCCTATTTCCAAACCAATACTTTCCGATGTCCTTTCTAAATCTAAACTTATCTAATTTAAATCCATTACCGCGCGTTCTCTCTTGGAGAGACATCCTCAAGACCTTATTAATATCCCCTTTATTAATACCTATCTTCCACTTATACACTTCGATCAGGTCTCCCCTCATTCTTCGTCTAACAAGTGAATGTAACTTAAGAGTCTTCAATCTTTCTTCATAAGGAAGATTTCTGATGCTATGTATTAATTTAGTCATCCTACGCTGAATGTTTTCTAACGAATTTATGTCCATTTTGTAATACGGAGACCAGAACTGAGCTGCATAATCAAGGTGAGGGAAGTAACCCCGGAAAAGGACTTGCTACCTCAAGTCCTAATGGAAGGGGATTCCCCTTCTAAACACTAACACCTCTCCCCTCCTTCCATCCCATTAATCATCACCAGATCTTCATTAAAGGTAAGTGTCAATTATTTTATTGTTATTGTAATCATTCTATTGCATTAAACTTAATATTTCATGTAGTAAAATTTTTTTTTTTCATACTTTTGGGTGTCTTGCACGGATTAATTTGATTTCCATTATTTCTTATGAGGAAAATTGACTCGGTTTTCGATATTATCGGTATTCGATGAGCTCTCAGGAACTGATTAATATCGAATACCGGGGGTCCACTGTATGACTTAGGTACCAGTATGACTTCAAATGTCAATAGACTGGATTTACTTTACATATGGATAGCTAGCAACAGAACAATTAAATGAAAAGTAGGGAGAAATCCCGTTCTCTGCCGTCCCTATACACCTACCATCCGACTTACGACCAAGTTCGGTTCCGAGAAACCGGTCGTAAGTCGAACTTTACTACTGAATATCAACAAAACATTTTTGTAATGACTATTTTATTGTTTTATTTTGGTATTTCATGTTTTACTTTACTTTTTATGTTGTTAGTACTGTGTTTTATACAGTAAGGTTTAGGATAAACACTGTGTACAACACAAATACTGGTTTATTTCCCAGAAATTTGGCATAAAAAACACGGTCGTAAGTCCAGTGGTCGCAAGTCGAGTGGTCGTAAGTCGAGCAGGTCGTAAGTCGGATGGTAGGTGTATTTCCAATCTTTCTAATCTCAACTCTCTTCATTCCTTAGACATTAAACTTGTGTTTTGCCAAACTAACACTCTTAACTGAAAGACAGTCATAACAATTTTATCATTTACTGGAAATTGGCAAATTTTTCAGAGCTTAAGTCCCATACCCCATTATTTGGTGCCCATATCCCACAGAGGTATGGATACCCTGGGTTAAGAACCCCCAATAAAAAAGATACATTAAACTGAATTAACAAATCTTGGCTCAATTAAGTAAAACGGCAGCCAAGGGCAAAACTACTACAGCTGTAAAGGGTCGCTAATAATGGGCTCGAAACTACCATTCAAACTAGGGAAATCTACAGGCTACCGTACTCAACAAAATAACGCACAGTTTAACCCCGTAATTCGTGGTGCTTAGGTTCCTGGAGGTGATGCAAATCCAGAAACTACAGGTAATAGGAAAGTCCTCATGAATGATTTAAATGGTTAAAGGCAATATCTCATTCTATATTGCTCTAATTTGTCTAATACTGACATTCATAGAAAGAATGCAAACAGAATGAAATTCTAAGAGTCGGCTATCAGTGTAGAGGTCACATTCCAAGCAAAAACAAAATATGAACCAAGAAAATACGTAAATGATTGAGGCTATCCCGAAATAGCCTTCTGCTGAAATGTTCTGCGATCAAATTACGCGGATTACGAAGCAAGGGAATTCCGGGGTATGACTGTACATATATATGCTACGTATACATAAAAAGGCTAATACAAAATGTGGTATGCACTGTACATGCTTAAAACAACCACTGACCCTCCATGATATTGTAGGCTAGCAAATGTGACGTGATGCAGCAGCGGAGAAAATAAAAAAAAAAAAAAAATAAGATACATTATGCTGGTTAGGGAAATCAAGAGAAATACTTAACACATTATTATATGATAAATGAAAGTGTGGAATTGAGGCTGTGTGAAGGTGATGAGTGGTGGTGGTAGTGCTTGTAGTGGTTCCAGCTGTGGTGGTGGTAGTGCTTGTAGTGGTTTCAGCAGTGGTGGTGGTGCAATAACAATGGTGATGAAGACTGGTGGTGGTGAGAACTGGTGGTGGTGATAGAAGACACACAACAGAAGACCTTTTATCATTACAGTGTTTCACCTAAAATACACATTATATAAAGTACTTGATAATGCCTATCATTGGTGAAACCTAACGATAAAAGGTCTCCCGCTAAATCTCGATTTAAATGACCTTAATTTAACAGATTTCAGTTTTAATAGAAAAAATCCATACAGAAAAAGTCCAGAAACAAGAGAGAAAATCTGCTGTTTCCAGTATTGTCTATTATTGTTACAATTCCCTGGGAAAATTAGTTTCAGAAACAAAATCTCATTTCCAGCATTGGCAACTATTGTTACAATCAAGAATAATTTTATATCAAATTTAGTGGATGAGCACCATTATCGAGCACCCTCCTTCCCCTACTAGTCCTTGAAATCGAGGTTTCACTGTTTTTTACCAACCATTTGTAAACTTGCAGCCAAACACCAACTACCGGTGGTAGTAACAATCGTGGTTGTGATAATAATATCAATGACTGTGAGGATGATAACCCAAGTGGTGATCATCTTAGTGGCCAGAGGGCAACATGGATGATAACCCAAGTGGTCATCTTCATGGCCAGTGGGCAACATGGATGATAACCCAAGTGGTCATCTTCATGGCCAGTGGGCAACATGGATGATAACCCAAGTGGTCATCTTCATGGCCAGAGGGCAACATGGATGATAACCCAAGTGGTCATCTTCATGGCCAGTGGGCAACATGGATGATAACCCAAGTGGTCATCTTCATGGCCAGTGGGCAACATGGATAATAACCCAAGTGGTCATCTTCATGGCCAGAGGGCAACATGGATGATAACCCAAGTGGTCATCTTCATGGCCAGAGGGCAACATGGATGATAACCCAATGGTCATCTTCATGGCAAGAGGGCAACATGGATAATAAACCCAAGTGGTCATCTTCATGGCCAGAGGGCAACATGGATATAACCCAAGTGGTCATCTTCATGGCCAGTGGGCAACATGGATGATAACCCAAGTGGTCATCTTCATGGCCAGAGGGCAACATGGATGATAACCCAAGTGGTCATCTTCATGGCCAGTGGGCAACATGGATGATAACCCAAGTGGTCATCTTCATGGCCAGAGGGCAACATGGATGATAACCCAAGTGGTCATCTTCATGGCCAGAGGGCAACATGGATAATAACCCAAGTGGTCATCTTCATGGCCAGTGGGCAACATGGATGATAACCCAAGTGGTCATCTTCATGGCCAGAGGGCAACATGGATAATAACCCAAGTGGTCATCTTCATGGCCAGTGGGCAACATGGATGATAACCCAAGTGGTCATCTTCATGGCCAGAGGGCAACATGGATAATAACCCAAGTGGTCATCTTCATGGCCAGAGGGCAACATGGATGATAACCCAAGTGGTCATCTTCATGGCCAGAGGGCAACATGGATGATAACCCAAGTGGTCATCTTCATGGCCAGTGGGCAACATGGATGATAACCCAAGTGGTCATCTTTATGGCCAGTGGGCAACATGGATAATAACCCAAGTGGTCATCTTCATGGCCAGTGGGCAACATGGATGATAACCCAAGTGGTCATCTTCATGGCCAGTGGGCAACATGGATGATAACCCAAGTGGTCATCTTCATGGCCAGTGGGCAACATGGATGATAACCCAAGTGGTCATCTTCATGGCCAGTGGGCAACATGGATGATAACCCAAGTGGTCATCTTTATGGCCAGTGGGCAACATGGATGATAACCCAAGTGGTCATCTTCATGGCAGTGGGCAACATGGATGATAACCCAAGTGGTCATCTTCATGGCCAGTGGGCAACATGGATGATAACCCAAGTGTCATCTTTATGGCCAGTGGGCAACATGGATGATAACCCAAGTGGTCATCTTCATGGCCAGTGGGCAACATGGATGATAACCCAAGTGGTCATCTTCATGGCCAGAGGGCAACATGGATGATAACCCAAGTGGTCATCTTCATGGCCAGTGGGCAACATGGATGATAACCCAAGTGGTCATCTTCATGGCCAGTGGGCAACATGGATGATAACCCAAGTGGTCATCTTCATGGCCAGAGGCAACATGGATGATAACCCAAGTGGTCATCTTCATGGCCAGTGGGCAACATGGATGATAACCCAAGTGGTCATCTTCATGGCCAGTGGGCAACATGGATGATGATCACAATGATAATGACATGGAAATCGCATCCATCTGAGAACTCACTAAGAAACCCCAGAGTAAACACACTTCTTGCAGATAAGCATTCTGCCCATTTTCCTTTGTCTCCTTCTGTTGGTTTTTCTCTATGTTGCAATAACTACAAGTGGTCCTTGATTTACGGTGGGGTTACATTTTGACAAACCCATTGTAAGTTGAAAATATCCTAAGCTGATATGATGTGCTAAATAAATAATAACTACTGTCACTGAATAAATAAATAATTACTGAACCAAATACCAGTACTGAAAAGTAAACAAATGAATACAAGTTACGGACTTGTCACTTTCATGTTGGCTAATTATCTGAAGTTTCATCTCAAAATTAATTGCTTTTGCATCATCGAAAAGCTGAAATATCGTAAGTTGAACCACTAAGTCGAGCAGCACAAAATAATTAGACACTGGCAAGAGAAATCTGGCTATTTCAGTCTTGGACATAGATCTCTTCAACAGATATGCCATTTGCTATCCGCCCTTGTGTATAGACCTGCAAGGCTGAGGAGGAACTGATTACCTCATCCTCTGTCTTCACACACCATCTCTGTACTGAACTGAACATCCTCAAACAAAACTACCCAAGTGCTGCAGGTGCAATTCTTCATAAAAAAAACTGCAGCAAGGGGAGATCGGCTAACATGCTTAGAAACTTTCCTTATCGTTGTATATATAAAAACCTGGAAAATAAATTGAAGGGAAGCAGGGTATGTTACCAGAACAGCAAACACTCACAGCCAAAACAAAGACAGTAATTGATCTAAGATTCTGAAATACCAGGATGTGAGAGAAGATCTCTCACATAAACTCACTTGTGACTTGTCTCACATCCACCACAATTACCAAACGGGAAGAAGCTATATTTAAATACATGATACAAACATTTTAACAGCCTTGTCAGAATGTTTGTCTCAGGCCAGGAACAGACGTACAGATTGCTGGTACTTCTGTAGAGTGAAGATCATGGAGGAAGATGAAATACGAGAAACATTCACCCCTACTCCAAAACATTTGGTTGGGGTCGGGAACAGACGTACAGATTGCAGGTACAGTACCTTTGGAGGTGAAGACCGTGGAGGAAGGAGAGATGAAAAATATAAAACGACTAAAAAAGATAAGAATTACTATGTAAGCTAAACTAGAAAGAATTATTTTTTAGAAAAAATTAGTAATTAACTACACTAAGCAAGAAATGAACTTATCTACACTGGCCATAGTGCATTTAGTGCTAGATAAGGGTAATGCTGCAACAGACTGAGTCAAATGCAATATTCATTACTGAACTGGCCTATACACAAAGTTTAATTCCTACACAAATTCAGCTTGCAGCAAAGGGAGCTCAACAGATCAAAGCAATGGTTAAAGTAAACTCTGGGTGGTGACACAGGAGTTTCTTTCCAGTCTTACCATCCATGCTTCGCGATGACAGTTTCCGGCGACTGAGCGTTCTCTCGAACTCGGGGTTGTTCCGGTCACTCAGGTTGGCTGCCATGCGGGACTGGTACTGGGTGCGCCCGGAGTAACGGAACTTGGAGCCGAGGCGCGGCCACAGACCCTGCTTCTGGGGAGGCTCTGGGGTCATTAATCTGCAAATAGGATGAAAGGCAGGAGCTGCTGACGAGTGCTGATGGGAACACCAGTCAACGACAAACCTGTGTTACACCCAACAACTGCTGAAGTAATCACTATACAGGTGCTCCTTGACTTGCGATGGAGTTACGTTCTGATGAATCCATCCTAAGTTGAAAATATCCTAAGTCGAATATATATGATAAATAACTGTCACAAAATAAATAAATAATTACTGTAATTAACTAAATACCAGCCTAAGTACAAACAAGCTGATGAAGATCTTGATCCATTTCCAATTCTAGCTACCTTACAAGCAAAAACACTTGATTACTGAATGTGCATCCCTACTGTATCATTGTAAAGTGAAAATATGGCAAGTTGAACCATCGTAAAGCAAGGAGCATCTGTACAAAATACAGCAAACTCTCAATAAGGAACTAATGGAGGGGGATAAGTGTCCAAGTGTTCATTAAATTGTTATGTTAAAAAATATAAAAAATAGACCCTGAGTACTCTACTGTAAATAACAAAAAGTCACAATACCATGACTGGAACAATACACAAATAACCCCTACACGAGAAAAAATTAAGGCGACATTTTGGTCCAACTTGGGCCATTAACTAGACAGAGACAGACACACACACACAGACAGACACACACAAACAGACAGAAAGACACACACACACGAAGTTAAGGGATACAGCATACACAATTTACAAATATACCACAATCAACACTGCAAATAGAGTACACTTCAAAGTACAATTTACCAAGTGGATTTCTGCCCCTTATTTTCAAAGTCCATTACATTGAGGGTTTACTGTATTATGGGTATTAAAAGGCTAATCCTTGACTGGTGTTCCCTTCAGCACAACCTGCAGACAGTTCAGTGTAATTCATGCCGGCTAAGGTTATGAGGATAACAAAAAGATTAGGTGACAAAAGATTGGATATCAGTTTGGAGGGAGAGAGTATGGAGGAGGTGAATGTATTCAGATATTTAGGAGTGGACGTGTCAGCAGATGGGTCTATGAAGAATGAGGTGAATCATAGAATTGATGATGGGAAAAGGGTGAGTGGTGCACTTAGGAGTCTGTGGAGACAAAGAACTTTGCCTGTGGAAGCAAAGAGGGGAATGTATGAGAGTATAGTTGTACCAACACTCTTGTTGTATGTGTGCGAAGCATGGAGTGATGAATGTTGCAACAAGGAGAAGGCTGGAGGCAGTGGAGATGTCATGTCTGAGGGCAATGTGTGGTGTGAATATAATGCAGAGAATTCATAGTTTGGAAATTAGGAGGTGTGGAATTACCAAAACTATTATCCAGAGGGCTGAGGAGGGAGTGTTGAAGTGGTTTGGACATGTAGAGAGAATGGAACAAAACAGAATGACTTTGAGAGTGTATAAATTTGTAGTGGAGGGAAGGCAGGGAGGGGTCAGCCTAGGAAGGGTTGGGAGGGAGGGGGTAAAGGTGGTTTTGTGTGCGAGGGGCTTGGACTTCTAGCAAGTGTGCATGAGCATATTTGATAGGAGTGAATGGAGACAAATGGTTTTTAATACTTGATGTGCTGTTGGAGCGTGAGCAAAGTAACATTTATGAAGGGATTTGGGGGAACCGGCAGGCCAGACTTGAGTCCTGGAGATGGGAAGTACAGTGCCTGCACTCTGAAGGAGGGGTGTTAATGTTGCAGTTTAAAAACTGTAGTGTAAAGCACCCTTCTGGCAAGACAGTGATGGAGTGAATGATGATGAAAGTTTTTCTTTTTTTGGGCCACCCTGCCTTGGTGGGAAATCGGCTGATGTGTTAATAAAAAATATATTTCTCACCAACCACTGACAGTACCATAAATAATCCTCCTCTATTATTGGAAATGTCCCTTTGTAATTAGTGCAACCCCGACTGATTTTTCCTGCCAAGGAACAGGAATGACTGCTATTTGCAAGCAACTTTATGATACACAAGTGATAGTGCCCTCAGCTCACAACCAAAGGCTCTAGGTTCATCCATAACATGGCATACACAAGTGAGTGCCCTCAGCTCACAAAAGGCCTAGTCAACATAACATGCATACAAGTATGCCCCTCAGCTCACAACCAAAGGCTCTAGGTTCAACCATAACATGGCATACACAAGTGATAGTGCCCTCAGCTCACAACCGAAGGCTCTAGGTTCAACCATAACATGGCATACACAAGTTGATTAGTGCCCCGGCTCCAAAACCGGAAGCTCTATTGCAAGCAAACTTTATGGATACACAAGTGATAGTGCCCTCAGCTCACAACTAAAGGCTCTAGGTTCAACCATAACATGGCATACACAAGTGATAGTGCCCTCAGCTCACAACCAAAGGCTCTAGGTTCATCCATAACATGGCATACACAAGTGAGTGCCCTCAGCTCACAAATAAAGGCTCTAGGTTCAACCATAACATGGCATACACAAGTGATAGTGCCCTCGGCTCACAAAGGCTCTAGGTTCAACCAAAACTTTGCATACACAAGTGATAGTGCCCTCAGCTCACTAAGGCTCTAGGTTCAACCAAAACATGGCATACAGAAGTGATAGTGCCCTCAGCACACAAAGGCTCTAGGTTCAACCAAAACATGGCAGGCAAGTCTGGTCTTAGACTGGGCCACAGCAGAAAAACTCTTGAAACTCATCAGTGATGTGTTATTCTAATAGGCATACTCTTAGGTATACCTTCAAATTAGATACAGATGATCTTTGAAACAAGTTAAGAACATCCTTTCAGTAAGTAAATTCACTAGTGTAAAAAAAAAAAAATCATAAAAATCACAAAAGACTATAGCAAGTGATTAAAGCACAACATCCCAATACAAATATATATTTTTTTTAACACATCGGCCGCTTCCCACTGAGGCAGGGTGACCTGAAAAGGAAGAAACACTTTCATCATCATTCACTCCATTATGGTCTTGCCAGAGGTGTGCCAATAATAGTTTAGAAACTGCAACATATCTCCGGACTTGAGTCCTGGAGGGGTTCGGGATATTAGCAGTTTGGAGGGATATGTTGTGTATCTTTATACGTATATGGATTTATGAAGGATGAGGTTAATCATAGAATTGATGAGGGAAAAAAGGTGAGTGGTGCGTTTGAGGTATATGTGGAGTCTAGAAAAACGTTATCTATGGAGGCAAAGAAGGGAATGTATGAAAGGAGAGTAGTACCAACACTCTTATATGGGTTGAGAACTTGGGTGGTAAATGCAGCAGCAGAGGAGACGGTTGGAGGCAGCGGAGATGTTCCTGTTTAAGGGCAATGTGGGTGTAAATATTATGCAGAAAATTCGGAGTGTGGAATTAGGAGAAAGGTGTGGAGTTAATAAAAGTATTAGTCAGAGTGCAGAAGAGGAGGTTGTTGAGTGGTTTGGTCATTAGAGAGAATGGATCACAGTAGAATGACATGGAAAGCATATAAATATATATGGGGAAGGAAGAGCGGGTAGGGTCGTCCTCGAAAGGGTTGGAAGAGAGGGGGTAAAGGAGGTTTTGTGGGTAAGGGGCTTAGGACTTCCAGCAAGCGTGCGTGAGCGTTAGTTTAGATAGGAGTGAATGGGACGAATGGTACTTGGGACCTGACGATCTGTTGGAGTGTGAGTCAGGGTAATATTTAGTGAAGGGATTCAGGGAAACCGTTATTTTTACATATTAGTCGGACTTGAGTCCTGGAAATGGGAAGTACAATGCCTGCACTTTAAAGGAGGGGTTTGGATATTGGCAGTTTGGAGGGATATGTTGTGTATCTTTATATGTTTATGCTTCTAGACTGTTGTATTCTGAGCACCTCTGCAAAAACAGTGATAATGTGCGAGTGTGGTGAAAGTGTTGAATGATGATGAAAGTATTTTCTTTTTGGGGATTTTCTTTCTTTTTTGGGTCACCCTGCCTCGGTGGGAGACGGCCGACTTGTTGAAAAAAAAAAAAAAAAAACTTCTAAACTGTTGTGTTCTGAGCACCTCTGCAAAAACAGTGATTATGTGTGAGTGTGGTGAAAGTGTTGAATGATGATAAAAGTATTTTCTTTTTGGGTTTTTTTTTTTCTTTCTTTTTGGGTCACCCTGCCTCGGTGGGAGACGGCCGACTTGTTAAAAAAAAAACTCCACTCCTTCCGAGTGCAGGCACTGTACTTCCCACCTCCAGGACTCAAGTCTGACAAACCAGCGGAAGATATATACTAGTAATGTTTAATCATGTACATGTAATTACCTCTCTTCATCTGAGTGTAAAAGAGTGAAGGGAGGAAAGTAGTTATTGCATTTATCAAATGTTTCGAACTGTGAGGTTAATTACGTTAAAAACACATGCAACAAAAGATCTTCATTAGACAACATTTCACCTACATGATCTTTAATAAGTACCTGTATTTGTAAATAATAAAACCTCATACAAGTAGAAATCATTTTAATAAGTCTCATTTTGACATATCTTATTAATTATTTGTCCGCCATACAATACTTTAAATAAAAGGTCAGTCAATACTTTCGGCAAAAGAGAAATGCATCCAAGTAAAAAAACGCCAAGCAATAAAGACACCTAACTGTAGCACGTATCTTATCAAAAATTATTTAAAAGGAATAGAGGGGTGAACTCCAGCTCTTGGACTTGCTTCTGAACTTGCAATTGATATTCATTATCCCTTTTCTTCAGTCGTATTGAGATGTTTGAAGCCCAGTGTTAAGTCAGTATCTAGTTTACCAATCACTTTAATCCACAGGAAACCCAGTCTGGGGTCGGTCCTAGGGGACACTGACCCCAGGAAGCAGCCTTCAGCTAAAGTAATGTTTATTATCACTACAACATTTTAGCTAGTGAAGCTTTTAAAAGAGTTCATCCTTATTCTGATCCAAAGTATCTGTATCAAGTGTCCTGTGCAAAAAAACTCTGCTCATTCAATCTTCCTTCAGGGGTCCCCAACCTGCGGCCTGCAGGCCGCACGTGGCCGTTCTAGGAAATGGATATGGCCTGCACATGAAATTTTGAATTCACTTTTAATTAGATTCCACACTGCATAGTGTCAACAAAACCATGCAGTCCTCATCACACATTTGACCATCAAATGTGGCCTACTTGTGTAGGAAGGTTGGGAAACACTGCTCTACTGCATTCAGGTATTCCTTGTAAGTTCATCAATCAGTGGAGTCTGGGATAACACACTTCTTAATTACCATGGGTACTTTCCCTTTCCTCTGTCTTTCTTCATGTATCAGGTGCTACAGAAGATGCAATCTTCTGTAGCACCTGATACTGTGCAGTGTAGGTTCCACATTGCAGTGTACCACTGTGTAGTGTAGGTTCCACACTGCAGTGTACCACTGTGTAGTGTAGGTTCCACACTGCAGTGTACCACTGTGTGTAGGATTCCACATCGCACCGTGTACCACTGTGTAGTGTAGGTTCCACACTGCAGTGTACCACTGTGCTGTGTAGGTTCCACACTGCACAGTATCAGGTGTTGCAGAAGACTGCATCTTCTATATCTTGACCCCAATTCCCACAAGAGCATGCAATAAGATCAGGATGTTCCAGTACATGTCTGTACAGCTTATGGTTCAGGGGTGAGGGAAAGGAGAATAAACATGGAGAAATGGGCAGGGAGTAAGGAGCGTGGTGGTGAAAAGTGTGCTGGAAGGTTGGGTGTCTTACTGCTAACAGGATGAGATACTTGTCATGGTAGAGTAGAAAGAAGGCTGAATCAGCAGGATTTGGACTAAAGGAGAGTTCCATGGTTTGCTGTACTTCTCTCAAAGGCTTCCTCCTACCCAGTGATTTGGTAATATCTCTGAAGAACCCTCCCCCTTACAGTTTCATACAATTTCTCCCTTAAAACTGTACAGTATTCTTTCCTCGTGAGGTGGGAATAACAGCTGAGAGGGAAGGCCCTAGAAAGTTTACTTGTGTGAGGCTAGTACATCTACTGTTTCAAGCTCTTGTAACACATGATAATTTCACATGTTGATTCTCAAACACCCAATATAATTACGTTGATACCTACTTGTTTAAGCATACACTAATGCGATCAACTGAAGAATCAGGACAAGGAAAAAGAAAGTCAAATTATTTAATTTAACTGTTTATATGATAATTTGTATTTGGCACCATCACTAAGAAACCTAATCCAACCATTCTGCAATTTTATTTTAAAAACACTAGCTGTCTCCCACTGAGGCAGGGTTGAAAAAAAAAAAAATTTGCCATTATTCACACTGTCTTCACACAGGAGTGCAGATATGGCAGTTTAGATATGACTTGAAACAGCAAAATCTGTATGCTGATCCTTTTGTTGATCACACAAAAGTATTAGTAAGTTTTACATATCGAGTGTACGAGAAGAGTAGATTGGGGAAAGAAGAGAAAACACCAAAGATTATATTAAGTAAAAGGACACAAGCGCAACAAATGTGACATTTTATTGTGGCAACGTTTTGCTCTCCAGGAGCTTTGTCAAGCTGTTACTGGAGAGCGAAACGTTGCTACAATGTCAAATTAGTTGCACTTGTGTCCTTTTACTTAACATACTGTCAGTAATTCTATCAACATTAACACTAAGAATCATACACCAACATACCTGAAGAATGTATGGTGTTCAACGCACACCTTCCACAACCTCTTGGCAGCCTTGTGATTCGGCAGCTTGAAGCCAATCGTAGATTCAAAGGTTTCAAACTCCCCAGGCCGGATTTTGATATAGAAGTTACTGCGTTTGTAGGAGATTTTGAGTATTTTGGGCCAAGCAAATCGGTTGATGCGTAGTCTGAAAAGTGGAAGTAGTAGCGGTGACACTTATTAAGCACTTTGACCATGTGGGTCACTCAGCATGCACAGGTACAGACACAATAACATGACAACATACAAAATACTCAGGGGAAGTGATAAGGAAACAAGGACAGGATGTTTGAGAGGCAAGAAACTGCTTGTAGGAACAGGAATCACGGGGATGTCAGGAAGTACTTTTTCAGTCTCGAGAGTGGTAAGGAAGTGGAACAATCTTGGCGAGGAAGTGATGGAAACAGACTCCATACACAGTTCTAAGAGTATGTATAACAGGGTCCACAAATAGTGGCAATTTAAAAGGCAGGGCCACCATCTCAGAATTAATCACTGCAGCTACAAAAAGGTGTGTGTGTGTGTGTGTACACACACACCACACACAAAACAAAGCATTGGCTATAAACACTCAACACAGCCAAATCTGATAATCCAAGTATGTAGTATTTTGTGTGTGAATGTTGTAATATTAATAACACAACTGCATGCCAGTAGATACAAGGTTTCCACCAACAAGCATCATTTGCAACATTTCATAATAAAGCAGGCTGGGTAGCCCAAAGAAGAAGAAAAATTACAGAGAACCCTGGATCTAAAGGACAAATAGTGGAACAGGTATGTTGAAGCCAAGTTATGTAACCAAGACATTTTTCCAGAAACATAACAATAAACAACAAATCTGTTAAAAAGCCAGATTGTCCATTGTCTCTGAATCAACTGACCCAGCATATTTTAACCCATATTTTAGAAGTCCATTATATGGAAGTCCTTTAAATCAAGGGTTCACTGTATCTGACATAACCTGAGTTAAGATCCACATTGGAAGCACCACTTGTCCCTGTAGACAAGGAGCCCAACGCACACCTAACATGATTCACACCTTCTGTCCTACGATGAATCATGTCCACACCATACATGCCCGTTTTTTTTGAATCATCTAGGTAATAGTCTGCTTCTGCCAGTGCTGGCCGTGCAGTAAGAATGAAATCAGCATTATGCACCACTTTAAATTACTGAGATTTCAAGAGGCACAAACACAGCAATAAATTGCATATACGTACTTCCAACTAACAATAAGAATAATTATCTAAATGCAGTTTTTTTTAACATGCTGGTACTTCCACCAATGCAGGATGACCCGAAAAGAAACATTTCACCACATTTAACTATCACGTCTTGCTAAGGTGCAACAGAACAACATTTGAAGTCCTTGAACAGTAATACCCAAACCCACTTAGCGTCAAGCAGTATTATATGTAAAAAACTATATATGTGTTAGCCAGATCCTATGTTATCCACACTAAATTTCGACTGCTACTAAAAAAAACCTGAGCTAGAGTCGTACGGCCACGTAGCTAGAGATTGTCGTAAAACTTGCATTGTGTCACGTGTGCTATCTAACCTCCTATGTGTAGAAATACTTTGGAGAATCTATGTGGCTCTTCCAGTGGCTAACACGACGGTCTGGAGTTTTGAGACTCTCTGACCCGGGTTCCATCCCCACCCGCGGTATGGTTTGTTTGCAATCGAGTCATTACGATTTCGTGAGTCATGACTTACTTTGTTAGGGAGATGTGCAGGATTAAAACTCAATGACTCATATAGCAAGAGCTGTCACGGATGTAGAAAGAAAAGATCAACACTTCTAATGAGCTTCACCTCCACCTTCATAACTGAAAGGTAGTACCTCACTGGATGGCTACTGTCAACTTAACTACTGAAAATACTAAATATCTTACAAGCTTGTAAGATTTCCAGGAAGGCACTACTGTCTTGCCATAAGGATGTGGAACAGAACTGTTCCACATACAGCAACGAAGTAGATGGTTACTATCTAGCAACCTACTGTCACTGCAAAACAAGCTTTCATTCAATACTTACATGACATGAGGATAGTACCATCCTGGATGGTTATCTACCAACCAAAACATCTGAAAAGCTCTCATTCCAGACTTGTATAACAGGAGGGTAATACATTACCTCCCTGTATAGCTGCTACCTATTTGACTGTTACCAGAAACCAGTCAGGGAGGTGCTACCATCCACTCAAATTAAGTGTGAAATTAAACATAATTTTTTTTTTCACTAACAGGATTGCAGATCTTGTCTTTCTGTCTCAATTATAATGACAAGTAATTCTAATAAACTTGTACTTACATTCAGAATACACATACAGTAATCCGTGGGGGACACGTACCAAGATCTACCGTAGATACCTGAAACTGTGGATAGTAGCAAACCCTATATGTAAGTAGCTTTTTGTTGACATACATACTCATGATAAGTTTTAATTGATAAATTACACACTAAGTCAAGAATTAGGACTTTTTCACCGATGGGAAACATTTTATGGCTTCACTACTACTTGCACTTTAGGGCCATTATTGAGCAAAATTAAGGGCCATTTTTGGACCATGGTAAATCATGGATAACTGAAACCATGGATACCAAATTCACGGATACAGGGGTTATACTGTACTTTTGTTTTCCTACATGCTTCTCGATAGTTCTTAATTCTGTAATATTTCATTTCCAACCTCGGACGCCAGGTGTGAGACTAGGCCATGGAAGATAATCCTCAGAACCCCTTAACAGATGCCAACCTACTTCAAAGAATTTTTTTTTTTTTTTTTTTTATATAAAAGTAAGATTTACTCACTTATGAGTCTTGTGTAGATCAACAACCTTCTCTTCCAGTTCAGCATTCTGATTAGGCGCAAAGGTGAATTCTGAGAGATAACTAGTGCCAACGTGTTCCTTGGCATCGTAATCGCCCACTTCTGCCTGCACCATATACGAACCTAAGAGGGCATGGGTGACGAACGAACAGGGCAACTTGCCCGTCAAAATGTCCTGCCGTACCTGTTGCAAAATAAAGTTAGTTATACAAGACTGGCATACAATACCTACAAGAAGAATTAAGATGCATATGCAACATCTGGGTATCTCGATTTGTAAACATTTCGCCATCCATTGGCTTCATCAATACAAATTCAACGACATAATAGGAAGAGGGTAATCAGTCCCTCAGCCTCCAACTCCAGGACTGACTACCTTGACTTTTGTACATTGTACAACCATGTACAAAACCATGTACAACCATGTACAAAAGACAAGGTAGTCGGTCCTGGAGTTCCAGGCTGAGGGGCTGATTACCCTCTTCCCGTTATGTCCTGGAATTTGTATTGACGAAGCCACTGGATGACAAAATGTCTACAAATAAAAATACCCAGATGTTGTACACATTTAATTCTTCATCTAAGAAAAGTAACATGATACCTGGTTTCTCAAGAATAATTATTACCACATAACAGACACATCCAAGACTTGACTGGCGAGTCGCAGGTTAACACATTCAAGTTGCATAACAAAATGACACCCAGAAGAGGAAGCAAATTTGGATACCATCTCGTCAGCAGCACCGAGAAAGCAGTCTAGCAAGAAATGGCTTGTGAGCTAATGTCTTGCTACATCTCTATTAACACAAGATTAACTACAGAGCATGTACAATCAGCTCTTATACAGAGCATGTACAATCAGCTCTTATACAGAGCATGTACAATCAGCTCTTATACAGAGCCTGTACAATCAGCTCTTATACAGAGCCTGTACAATAAGCTCTTATACAGAGCATGTACAATCAGCCGTTTCATAAAATTTCTATATATATAGTAAGATTGTAATAAAGTTGGTAGAATTACCAACAATACGTAAAGTAAAAGGACACAAGTGCAACTAATGTGACAGTTTTATTGTGGCAACGTTTCGCTCTCCAGGAACTTTGTCAAGCCGTTACAAACAATATATGGACACAGGGTATATATAGGCTTAAGAGTGAGGTGTAATAGTAGTGGTGGTGGTAGTAGTAGTAGTAGTAGTAGTAGTAGTAGTAGTAGTAGTAGTAGTAGTAGTAGTAATGTAAGTTGTAGTAGTAGTAATACAACTTGCACATGAGTAAAAGGATATAACAGCTATTATTTGGAGAAGAGAGAAGTGTAGAGAGAGAGAGAGAGAGATTTTTCGAAATGTTGAGTGAATGCGTGGGGAGTTTTGAATCAAGTGTGAGAGTAATGGTGGTTGGGGATTTCAATGCTAAAGTGGGTAAAAATGTTATGGAGGGAGTAGTAGGTAAATTTGGGGTGCCAGGGGTAAATGTAAATGGGGAGCCTTTAATTGAGCTATGTGTAGAAAGAAATTTGGTAATAAGTAATACATATTTTATGAAAAAGAGGATAAATAAATATACAAGGTATGATGTAGCACGTAATGAAAGTAGTTTATTAGATTATGTATTGGTGGATAAAAGGTTGATGGGTAGGCTCCAGGACGTACATGTTTATAGAGGGGCAACTGATATATCAGATCATTATTTAGTTGTAGCTACAGTTTAGAGTAAGAGGTAGATGGGAAAAGAGGAAGGTGGCAACAACAAGTAAGAGGAGGTGAAAGTGTATAAACTAAGGGAGGAGGAAGTTCGGGTGAGATATAAGCGACTATTGGCAGAAAGGTGGGCTAGTGCAAAGATGAGTAGTGGGGGGGTTGAGAGAGGTTGGAATAGTTTTAAAATGCAGTATTAGAATGTGGGGCAGAAGTTTGTGGTTATAGGAGGGTGGGGGCAGGAGGAAAGAGGAGTGATTGGTGGAATGATGAAGTAAGGGTGTGATAAAAGAGAAAAAGGTAAGCTTATGAGAAGTTTTTACAAAGCAGAAGTGTTATAAGAAGAGCAGAGTATATGGAGAGTAAAGAAAGGTAAAGAGAGTGGTGAGAGAGTGCAAAAGGAGAGCAGATGATAGAGTGGGAGAGGCACTGTCAAGAAATTTTAATGAAAATAAGAAAAAATTTTGGAGTGAGTTAAACAAGTTAAGAAAGCCTAGGGAAAATATGGATTTGTCAGTTAAAAACAGAGTAGGGAGTTAGTAGATGGGGAGATGGAGGTATTAGGTAGATGGCGAGAATATTTTGAGGAACTTTTAAATGTTAAGGAAGAAACAGAGGCAGTAATTTCATGCACTGGTCAGGGAGGTATACCATCTTTTAGGAGTGAAGAAGAGAAGAATGTAAGTGTGGGGGGGAGAGGTAAGTGAGGCATTACGTAAAATGAAAGGGGGTTAAAGCAGCTGGAACTGATGGGATCATGACAGAAATGTTAAAAGCAGGGGAGGATATAGTGTTGGAGTGGTTGGTACTTCTGTTTAATAAATGTATGAAAGAGGGGAAGATACCTAGGGATTGGCGGGAGAGCATGTATAGTCCCTTTATATAAAGGGAAAGGGGACAAAAGAGACTGTAAAAATTATAGAGGAATAAGCTTACTGAGTATACCAGGAAAAGTGTACGGTAGGGTTATAATTGAAAGAATTAGAGGTAAGACAGAATGGAGGATTGCGGATGAGCAAGGAGGTTTCAGAGTGGGTAGGGGATGTGTAGATCAAGTGTTTACATTGAAGCATATATGTGAACAGTATTTAGATAAAGGTAGGGAAGTTTTTATTGCATTTATGGATTTAGAAAAGGCATATGATAGAGTGGATAGAGGAGCAATGTGGCAGATGTTGCAAGTATATGGAATAGGTGGTAAGTTATTAAATGCTGTAAAGAGTTTTTATGAGGATAGTGAGGCTCAGGTTAGGGTGTGTAGAAGAGAGGGAGACTACTTCCCGGTTAAAAGTAGGTCTTAGACAGGGATGTGTAATGTCACCATGGTTGTTTAATATATTTATAGATGGGGTTGTAAAGGAAGTAAATGCTAGGTGTTCGGGGAGAGGGGTGGGATTAAATTTTGGGGAATCAAATTCAAAATGGGAATTGACACAGTTACTTTTTGCTGATGATACTGTGCTTATTGGAGATTCTAAAGAAAAAATTGCAAAGGTTAGTGGATGAGTTTGGGAATGTGTGTAAAGGTAGAAAGTTGAAAGTGAACATAGAAAAGAGTAAGGTGATGAGGGTGTCAAATGATTTAGATAAAGAAAAAATTGGATATCAATTGGGGAGGAGGAGTATGGAAGAAGTGAATGTTTTCAGATACTTGGGAGTTGACGTGTCGGCGATGGATTTATGAAGGATGAGGTTAATCATAGAATTGATGAGGGAAAAAAGGTGAGTGGTGCGTTGAGGTATATGTGGAGTACAGTGCCTGCACTCTGAAGGAGGGGTGTTAATGTTGCAGTTTAAAAACTGTAGTGTAAAGCACCCTTCTGGCAAGACAGTGATGGAGTGAATGATGGTGAAAGTTTTTCTTTTTCGGGCCACCCTGCCTTGGTGGGAATCGGCCGGTGTGATAATAAATAATAAAAAAAAAAAAAACGTTATCTATGGAGGCGAAGAAGGGAATGTATGAAAGTATAGTAGTACCAACACTCTTATATGGGTGTGAAGCTTGGGTGGTAAATGCAGCAGCGAGGAGATGGTTGGAGGCAGTGGAGATGTCCTGTCTAAGGGCAATGTGTGGTGTAAATATTATGCAGAAAATTCGGAGTGTGGAAATTAGGAGAAGGTGTGGAGTTAATAAAAGTATTAGTCAGAGGGCAGAAGAGGGGTTGTTGAGGTGGTTTGGTCATTTAGAGAGAATGGATCAAAGTAGAATGACATGGAAAGCATATAAATCTATAGGGGAAGAAGGCGGGGTAGGGGTCGTCCTCGAAAGGGTTGGAGAGAGGGGGTAAAGGAGGTTTTGTGGGCAAGGGGCTTGGACTTCCAGCAAGCGTGCGTGAGCGTGTTAGATAGGAGTGAATGGAGACGAATGGTACTTGGGACCTGACGATCTGTTGGAGTGTGAGCAGGGTAATATTTAGTGAAGGGATTCAGGGAAACGGTTATTTTCATATAGTCGGACTTGAGTCCTGGAAATGGGAAGTACAATGCCTGCACTTTAAAGGAGGGGTTTGGGATATTGGCAGTTTGAGGGATATGTTGTGTATCTTTATACGTATATGCTTTAGACTGTTGTATTCTGAGCACCTCTGCAAAAACAGTGATTATGTGTGAGTGTGGTGAAAGTGTTGAATGATGATGAAAGTATTTTCTTTTTGGGGATTTTCTTTCTTTTTTTTTTTTGGGTCACCCTGCCTCGGTGGGAAACGGCCGACTTGTTGAAAAAAAAAAAAAAAAAAAAAAATAAGTTAGATAAATATTTGTATTGGAGGTTGAATTAGAGAAGGTCTGTTTCAGTGTTCATCCTCCGTAATGTGATTTGTGAAGTTTTAACCCTTAAACGGTCCAAACGTATATATACGTTTTTTCAACATCTGAAAGTACGTAAAAAAATGTAGATCTTTTTTGTTTTACATTTGAAAACATGTATTATTATAATCAAGGGGGAAGCGCTAAACCCGGAGGATTATACAGCGCCTGGGGGGGGGGGGGATGTGGAAGGCATTCAGGCTTAATTCGGGGAACTGGAACACAGATCCAATTCCCTAAATCAAGAGCCCCTCACCAACATCAAGGAACCTTCCTTGAGGGGTTGAAAACGTGTAAAAAAAAAAAAAAAATTTTATCTACATTTTTTTTGTTATATTTGAAATGTAAAAAAAAAAAAAAAAAAAAAAAAAAAAAAAAAAGTAGATCTACTTTTGTAGCACTATGAATTTGAATGTCGATTTGTTTGAAGCGTTTAAGAGTTAACAGGAGAGAGTGTGTGATGATAGGGTTTACTGCTTTTAAGAGGATTCTTGCCAAGACTATCTTAACATATAGTAATATTCTTTATAAAGGCAATTCAAAAGGTACATCCAAAACTAAACAGCGATGAAAAGCCTTCACAGTGCACGTTATGATTTTTTTGTTGAACTTCTTTTAATTGCATTTACAAAAAAAAAAAAAAAAAAAAAAGGGCACTGTATAAAAGTTAGGGTTACTTAATGATTAACCCTTAAACTGTCCAAACGTAGATCTACGTTTTCTCAACATTTGAAAGCATGTAAAATAACGTAGATTTTTTTTTTTTTTGAAAGTGTAAAAAAAAAACTTTGATCTACTGTTTTTTTTAGATTTGAAAATATGTAAAAACCATAGAGCTACTTTTGGAGCGCTACGCATGTGAACGTAGATCTATGTTTGGACAGTTTAAGGGTTAGGATAAAAAATGGATTGCCATGAACAAATTGTAGTCTAAAGACCTGGATAAAAACCTAATTACCCCAAGTAAAATGTACTCTAGTATACAGTATACTTCATATATATATATTCTTTTTAACATGTCGGCCGTCTCCCACCTAGGCAGGGTGACCCAAAAAGAAAAAATCCCCAAAACAAAAATACAGTGGACCCCCGGTTAACGAACTTTTTTCATTCCAGAAGTATGTTCAGGTGCCAGTACTGACCGAATTTGTTCCCATAAGGAATATTGTGAAGTAGATTAGTCCATTTCAGACCCCCAAACATACACGTACAAACGCACTTACATAAATACACTTACATAATTGGTCGCATTTGGAGGTGATCGTTATGCGGGGGTCCACTGTACTTTCATCATCTTTCAACACTTTCACCTCACTCGCACATAATCACTGTTAAAATTTAATTACCCCAAACAAAATGTTATCAGGATAAAATATCAAATCGTCCTAAGTGAAATAAACTTCGTTATAAAATCTCGTCCCTGTAAAGTATTTCTCGGCCATGAAGGACTGTGCCGCCTTCTCACCTGGAGGCAGAGCTGGTATCGAGTTATATCTTCAGCAAGCTGCGTGGGGTCTGGAGGGTAAAACTTCACCTCAAACTTGAACTCCCACGGTCCCTTGACCTGCTTGGAGATCCGCTTCTCAAGGTTGAGCCAGTTAGTAGTGTTGTTGTGGTCGATGTAGCTTAGACCAAAGTAGTCCTTCTCTAGGAGGTTGATGCGATCTGCGATGCTTGTCAGCAAGTCTATACCCTTGGCCTTTTTCTGTTGGATGAAAGAGTAACCGTGTGAAAAGCGTATATGAACGCACTAACTCTCGCACAAAACCTACTTGCCAGATCAACCAGGCTGTGATGGATATGTGGGGGCAGCGGGCCTCCAGCAGCAACAGCCTGGTTGATCAGGCAATCACCAGACGAGCCTGGCCCCCACGGCCAGGCTCTGAGAGTAGTTAAACTCTCAAAACTCTTCAAAGGTATACCTATACAAATATGGTCTTTAGGTATAATAATTAATCATACAACATTCAGAAAAGAGCTAAACCCATATGGGGTATTCAAGAAAAGCTCCTCCACCTTATCTGCACAAGAAAATTTAAAATTAAGAGTAAGAAACGTAATCAAGGAGTGTTCAATGCAAATACATACATATTTTTCAATACACTAACCATCTCCCACTGAGGTAAGGTGACCCAAAAATAGAAGAAACACTTCCATCACTCACTCCATTACTGTCCTGCCAGAGAGGTGCTGATACTACAGTTCAAAACTGTGAATATTTCCACCCCTCTGTCAGAGTACACTCACTGTACTTTCTACCTCCAGGACTCAGTCCGGCTAACCGGTTTCCCAGAATCCCTTCATTCCACCCCTCTGTCAGAGTACACTCACTGTACTTTCTACCTCCAGGACTCAGTCCGGCTACCCGGTTTCCCAGAATCCCTTCATTCCACCCCTCTGTCAGAGTACACTCACTGTACTTTCTACCTCCAGGACTCAGTCCGGCTACCCGGTTTCCCAGAATCCCTTCATTCCACTCCTCTGTCAGAGTACACTCACTGTACCTCCCACCTCCCAGAATCCCTTCACAGGTGTTACCTCGGTCACACTCCAACAGCACAGTGTAAATGTAAGCCTCTCACTTATTTCCAGTTTTTCTACCCACACTCCAGCCTGGTGCCAGGCTCCTCTTGGCTGCCTGTTCAATTAGGCTGTTACTGCTGGCAGCCCACTGGCTCATATCCATCACAGGAAGAGGTTGTGGTCCAGTTTCAACTACAAACTTATACACTTATTTAGGCAACGTTTCCAATATCCATCACACCATTTCAGAGTTTCGGATTTCTTCCAAAGTTTTCACAGATCTGCCGATGTTCTAGTAGTTTCGACAAGCATGCTCTTCCTACCTTAAATCCATGACTGTGTTGTCTAGGTCATGTTTTTCCAAAGAAAATTGTAATTTGACATTTTGCCACCAAGATATTTTTTTGTTATTGATTTTTTTTTTTTTGTGACAAGTCTACTGCAGTCTTTGTGCAGAGAAGCAATGTCTGTATTTTAGGGTCTCTTGGTTTCATCCTTCACCTATGAAGGGCTCAAATTAAACTATGAACTAAATAGAGTCGAACGTCAGTGTTTGAATGTACTGGACCTCGAACAAACCAGTCTGAACAATTTTGTTCTGAAAAAATCGACCTGTTATTTGAATATCTAAACGTGCTGACTTATTTAAAATTCAGCTGTAAAAAACTTTACAGGAAAGCAGTTTCAAAAGCGCTCTGAAGTGACCTCTGACACTGACCTGACTCTCGGAGACTTTTGGAAGCGTCAGTTCAACATCCTCCAGTGTGTGAGGATGATAATTAAAGCCTGGAGGAATACTGTTTAATACATCGAACTTTCCCCAGTTCCAACACCACCTAGGAACCAATTAAGTTTAAACACCAAGGCTCCTCTTGTACTGAAGATGGCACACCACAAACCTACCTCTCATCCTTTAACCTTAAACATGAATATGAATTAAAAAAAGGCAACTGCATTCCAAATATTTTCCTCCCTGCCTGTCTACTCTTATACACTCCCAACAAAATTCCCTTTCCTCAGTCCATCCCTTTACTCTTATATATTCCCTACTGCTCCTCTCCTCCTCCTACTCTTATACACACAATATATATTCCCTGCTGCTCCTCTACTCTTATACACTCCAAATATCTTCCTTCCTACCCCACTCCTCTAACACATCTTGCCAAAACTTGAAGTTCTGTTCTTTCTTCCAACACAATTCCCATTTACTCTCTCCTTGTATCACCCATCCATTCAACCAGGCATCAATCTATAAGTCATCCATCCATTCATTTTATACGTCCTCTCATTCAACCCCCCCCCCCCACATTCCTTCCTACACCCCCCCACACATCAACCAGACAACTGCTGCAGCATATGGGCACCTGGCAAACCTGAGAACGTTCCGATACCTCAGTAAGGAATCATTCAAGACCCTACACCATGTACATCAGGCTCATATTGGAGTATGCAGCACCAGTTTGGAACCCCGCACCTGGTCAAGCACGTCAAGAAATTAGATAAAATGCAAAGGTTTGTAACAAGGCTAGTTCCAGAGCTAAGGGGAATGTCCTACAAAGAAAGGTTAAGGGAAATCTGCATGACAACATTGGAGGGCAGGAGGGTTAGGCAAGACATGATAACAATATACAAAATACTGCAAGGAACTGACAAGGTGGACAGAGACATGATGTTCCAGAGATGGGACACAGAAACAAGGGGTTACAAATGGAAGCTGAAGACTCAGACGAGTCAGAGTGATGTTAGGAAGTATTTCTTAAGTCAGAGTTGTCAGGAAGTGGAATAGTCTGGCAAGTGATGTAGAGGCAGGAACCATACATAATTTTAGAAGAGCTATGATAAAGTTCACGGAGTAGGGAGAGGACCTAGTAGCAATCAGTGAAGAGGCAGGGCCAGGAGCTATGTCTTGACACTCTGCAACCACAAATAGGCAAGTATAAATAGGTGATTGAGCACACGCACACACACACTCACACTGATATGGCTTCACCACAACCACCAGCATGATGAAGCTCTAGTCACTGCTGCCGCCACAAAACGACCCCAACGGAAGCCTCTTATGTCAGTATTAACCCCATCTGCCAGTGTTGCCACAGCTGGCAAAAGCAGCACACACAATATGACACTGATGACACAGGAAAGAAATATAAAATACCGAGAGTAATTGACAAGGTGAATAGGGACAGGATGTTTCAGAGAGGTAACACAGCAACAAGGGGGGGACGCAACAAGAGGACACAGCAACGAGGGGTCACAACTGGAAGTTGAAGACTCAGATGAGTTACAGGGATGTTAGGAAGTACAGTGGACCCCCGCTTAACGATATTTTTTCATTCCAGAAGTATGTTCAGGTGCCAGTACTGACCAAATTTGTTCCCATAAGGAATATTGTGAAGTAGATTAGTCCATTTCAGACCCCCAAACATACACGTACAAACGCACTTACATAAATACACTTACATAATTGGTCGCATTGGGAGGTGATCGTTAAGCGGGGGTCCACTGTATTTAAGTCACAGAGTTGTCAGGGAGTGGAACCATGTGGAGAGTGATGTAGCGGAGGCAGGATCCATATACAGCTTTAAGAGGAGGTATGATAAAGCTCGTGAGAGGGGACCTAGTAGTAATCAGCAAAGAGGTGGGGCCAGGAGCTATGACTTGACCCTTGCAACCACAAATAGGCAAGTACTGAGCAGCAGAGTGCCAATATTCTCCACGGTGGAACACCTGCTGCTGTTTCTTCTGCTGTTGTCGATGCTGCTGCTGCCGCAACAAAAGCAGCACCTGGAGGCTGGAGTAGAGCACTTGCCTCTCGTGTAGGAATTCTTTTATTGCAAAGTAGAAACCTGTTCAAGTGTACCAGAAAGTACAGCATTCTCCAATTATTTTTTGAGGAGAGTACAAATAGGAAGCGTGTCTGTCTGGCATTCAACAGACAGAGGATAAAGTCTCCACCACGTCTTGTGCTGAATGAACCAAGTGGGTTTAGCGCTAAACATGATTATCCAATTAATTTTACTGTACCTCAACAGCCACTTTCAGATCTATGGCCAGGAGCCGACTCTCAACACCTTATAAAGACAACAGAGCAAGCACTCACTTCCACTGCCACCTCACACTCGGTGCCATCGAGGAGCTTGATCCGGGCAAGGACCATCTTGCCCCTGGGAGCCTTGGACGGGGACTTGCTGGGGGACTCCGGGGCCTTTGTCTCCGCCCCGACGCCATTCTCCCCCTTCCCCCCCTTCTCCTCCGGCATGGCAGACGGTGCCTAAAAACAAAACACCTTCCTTATTAATGGATTCTAAGACAACATTTTTACACATTAAAAATGTAGTATTACTAAACATAAAAAGAAAATAAACTAAAGTCTTCTTTGTTTTTTTTTTTTTTTGGGGTCGCCCACCCTAGCGGGAGACAGTCGGTAGGCTGAAAAAAAAAATTACAATAGAGCATCTCCTCACTTAATGATGGAGTTCCGTTCCTAAGACCACTTTGGTAAACAAATATGTCGTTAAGTGAGGATCATACTATAATGGTAGTGGGTTTGTGTCAACCATCTTTGATATTGTTTTAATGTCGCCTTTGAACCATTTATAACATTTCTGGTATATTTTTAAAATGTTTATACAGTAGTGTAGTGTACAGTAATGAAAAACAGAATAGAGGAAATCAGCTGTAATATACATTACTTAGGTATGCATACTGGTCAGAGAGTCGGTTGTAAGTCTGAGGCGTTGGTAAACGAGTACATCGCTAAGTGAGGAGAGGCTGTATTCCAACTCTTCTAGGTTTTTAACGTACCAACCATCTCCCACTGGCGTGGGGTAAACAAAACGTAATACATTCACCATTGTTCATTCAATCCATTTGGAAACAAAATTAAAACATTTAAATTTCATAAAAATTACAGTGGACCCCCGGTTAACGATATTTTTTCACTCCAGAAGTATGTTCAGGTGCCAGTACTGACCGAATTTGTTCCCATAAGGAATATTGTGAAGTAGATTAGTCCATTTCAGACCCCCAAACATACACGTGCAAACGCACTTACATAAATACACTTACATAATTGGTCGCATTCGGAGGTGATCGTTATGCGGGGGTCCACTGTATTCAGAATAAAGAGAAAAAACAAAACGTGGTCAAAGCAATGTAGTACAAGGAAAAAACAGATCATCATAAAGGGGAGAATATACACATATGAAAATATACATTATCTCTCAGTCCACAGCAGGATTCGAACCTGCACACTCGCTCAGTCCACAGCAGGATACGAACCTGCACACACTCTCTCAGTCTACAGCAGGATTCGAACCTGCACACACACTCGGTCTACAGCAGGATTCGAACCTGCACACACACACACACACTCAGTATAGAGCAGGATTCGAACCTGCACACTCAGTCCACAGCAGGATTCGAACCAG